TCTTCACTTTGAGAAAATTGGGATAAAACCAAACCAATAAACTGAAGACATGGATCGGTAGCCAACACACACCGAACAACATCACGATCGTCATCAACATCTTGATCACCTAAACAGTCCGTACAAAGCAGTTGTCAAACAATTATCATAAATCCATTACTAGTTTTGTATGAAAGTTAATTAAAATATGGTGTATTAGTGAAAGCCTTAATAAATTATACATTAATTCATTTTACTAGACATTTATGTACTGTTTGTAATATTACCTCATAATAAAACCATATTAAAAATTATATAAAACCATAAAATTTTAATTAGACATTTCTTTAAAGCGAAAAGGATAGTGATATAAGATGTCATAAATTAAATTGACCATGTGATCAAGGTGATTTAGTACATGAAACTAACCTTAATCTTTCTATTAATCTGATTGCCGTCTCGACGACAGTCAGGATTGCCGGGAATCACGTGACGAAAGACGTGGTATGCGATCGTCGAGTAGACAAATATAAGTATAGCGACGGGCAGTGCAAATGTGGCCACGAATATAATGATGGTATAAATCCGGCCGCTCTCCAGATCCCAGTCTTCGCGACACTCGTAGTACAGGTTCTTCCTGTGATAGAAGGGAACCGCTCTGACGACCACCAGTTGCACACACGCTATGGCCACACCTGACGTCCATATCATCGCAATCACCCATTCTTTGTTTGAACGCAACCAATGAAGGATTCGCGCCACAGAATACAGCGGGTGAATTATGGCAAAGTACCTTGGTAAGCAGATAATTTTACAAATGTTAGTCCGTAATATATATTTTCTTGTAATTGAGTATGTTATTTTATTTAATATACAGAATACCATTTATTTATTCTTGGTATTATTTTACTTAAAATGAAATGGTTTTAAATACATGTAATGTAATTATATAATAATGTAACAATATAACAATGTAATTATATAATATATATTTTATAACTCAATATTATTAGGAAATAGTCATAAACAACAAAAATGTTTTTGTAATTCAATATTAGAGAAATAATATTTTTTCTAAAGGATTTTCATATATTCTCTTTATGTTTGTCTTTAAGAAAATTATACTAAAAAGATATTAAATAATAAATGCACGCAATTATTGTATTATGTTTTGGTTTAAAAAAACAAAATCTGCTTTAAAAATCTCTTCTGCTGAAAACTATTTACCATGATAAAACTGCAGACATAATATGCTATTATTAAGTGCTTATTCACATTAATTATGCTCAATAGAAACCATATTTTTCTAGGAATTGTGAAATTTAAGGCTAAAAATCTTATCAAACAAAAAGCACTGTATTTTTGAATAAAATGATTTTTATCTATAATTTATTATTATTATAACAAAATGAATGAATTGAAAAGAAGTCATTCAATGAGAATCCGCGATATGTTTTCAATTAAAGTTTTTAATATTCAATAATATAGTTCAAATAAGTTTTTCTTGCATTTCCGCCATAATTTTGAAATATAACCAAATATTACAACACTTTTTTGATAAATAAAATTATAAAGTGTTCAAACATTGCTTTGATTTCATATGTATAGCAAAGAAAAAATTGTATTTTAAAGAGAATTTTATATTTCAATTGATTATAAGCTGAAAATTCGTAGAAAATATTTTTAAATACATTTAACGCAAAAAACATGTTTGAATTTTTTTGTTGTTGAAAAACTTCTGAATTAGTTTTGTATAGTTTATGTCTGATATTTAATGACTCAAAGAATTGTTATCATTATAAATTATAAATATATTTTGTAGTAAATCGCTTGAAAATGCATTAATTTTAACACTAAATTCGAGTACAATATGTGTTTAACGCCTCAGAATTTTAATAATTCATTATAATTTAAATTTATTAAATCGCAATTTGTATAATGTCTGTCTTTAAGTTATTTCTAGTCCTAAACCAGTAGTTATATATTTACATACAAAACAAATAAAATTCAATGAATAAAATATTTATTTTTAAAACTATTATTAACTGACAAATGTTTAAAAATATGTCTTAAGTTTTAAGATTAAAATTTAAGTAAAATCTTTGGGAATTCGCCCACAAGTGATATAATTTTGAATATTAATGATAATAATAAAGCGGACTATAATTCAGTAATGATAATCAAATAAAATCATAATAAATTGTGCTAGAAATAATAATTATATTAATAATAATATTAGAATCTAATACAAAACAAATGTTATTTTAATTTTAAGAATTGATATTTTTCTGCTAATTCATAGGATAGTTATAACTAACTTATTGTAGAAAGCTATTTTAACATAGTAATTATAAAAACTGAATTTTAAATTAATATAAATATAACAACCCTCAAATATCTAAACAATATAAATATTTTGATTAATTACGTGTAAAATAAATGTAAGATTCAAATTATTTTTGTTGATTATAAGTTATTTTTACACGTTATAATTTATAACCTATTTAAATTTAGAAAAAGAAAATTATTTGAAATAATTTCATAAGAATTATTTATAAAAATCAAGAATATTGTTAGCTTACAGTTATTATATTTAATATTTTTAACAAAATCCATCTAAAAATGCGGAATTCAGTGGAATTTTATATTAATAATGATATAAATAGAAAAAATAAGAAGTCGTGTGTTGTTTGAATAGAAGATACATTTATATGAAAGTGTATTTTATTATAATTGTTGTGATTTAAAAAATGAAAGCTATATTAAAATCAATAAATGCCAAGATTTTTGCTATCAATACTTGCATTCAGTAAAACATCTAATGTGGGCGTCATATAAAATAACAATCATATTCACCGTTTTATTCTTGATCTCTATACTTTATATCAAATTCACCCTCTCTCTCTCTCTCTCTTTCTCTCTCTCTCTCTC